GCTTTTGTTGTTGTTAGGTGCCATCGAGTCAGTTCCAACTCATAGCGACCCTATGTACTACAGAACGAAACACTGCCCGGTCCTGTACCATGCTCACAATTCTTGTTATGCTTGAGCCCATTGTTGTAGCCACTGTGTCAATCCATCTTGTTGAGGGTCTTCCTTTTTCGCTGACCCTGTACTTTACCAAGCATGATGTCCTTCTCCAGGAACTGATCCCTCCTGACATATGCCCAAAGTATGTAAGATGTAGTCTCGCCATCCTTGCTTCTAAGGAGCATTCTGGCTGTACTTCTTCCAAGACAGATTTGTTCGTTCTTTTGGCAGTCCGTGGAATATTCAATATTCTTCGCCAACACCACAATTCAAAGGCATCAATTCTTCTTCAGTCTTCCTTACTCACAGTCCAGCTTTCCCATGCATATGATGCAATTGCAAATACTATGGCTTGGGTCAGGCACACCTTAGTCTTCAAGGTGACATCTTTGCTTTTCAATACTTTAAAGAGGCCTTTTGCAGCAGATTTGCCCAATGCAATGAGTCTTTTGATTTCCTGACTGCTGCTTCCATGGGTGCTGACTGTGGATCCAAGTAAAATGAAATCCTTGACAACTTCAATCTTTTCTCCGTTTATCATGATGTTGCTTATTGGTCCAGTTGTGAGGATTTTTGTTTTCTTTATGTTGACATGTAATCCATACTGAAGGCTGTGGTCTTTGATCTTCATCAGCAAGTCCTTCAAGTCCTCTTCACTTTCAGCAAGCAAGGCTGTGTCACCTGCATAACGCAGGTTGTTAATCAGTCTTCCTCCAATCCTGATGCCCCATTCTTCTTCATATAGTCCAGCTTCTCGGATTATTTGCTCAGCATACACACTGAATAGGTATGGTGAAAGGATACAACCCTGACACATACCTTTCCTGACTTTAAACCACACAGTATCTCCTTGTTCTGTTTAAATGACTGCCTTTTGATCTATGTACAGGTTCCTCATGAGCACAATTAAGTGTTCTGGAATTCGCATTCTTCGCATTCCATAATTTGTTATGATCCACACAGTCGAACGCCTTTGTGTAGTCCATAAAACACAGGTAAGCATCTGTCTGGTATTCTCTGCTTTCAGCCAGGATCCATCTGACATCAGCAGTGACATCCCTGGTTCCATGTCCTCTTCTGAATCTAGCTTGAATTTCTGGCAGTTCCCTGTCGATATACTGCTGCAGTCGATTTGGATGATCTTCAGCAAAATTGTACCTGCGTGTGATAGTAATGACATTGTTCAATAATTTCTGCATTCAGTTGGATCACCTTTCTTGGGAATAGGCATAAATATGGATCTCTTCCAGTCGGTTGGCCAGGTAGCTGTCTTCCAAATTTCCTGGCATAGACAAGTGAGCACTTACAGTGCTGCATCTGTTTGCTGAAACATCTTAAGTGGCATTTCGTCAATTCCTGGAGCCGTGTTTTTCGCCAATGCCTTCAGTGCCGCTTGGACTTCTTCCTTCAGTACCATAGGTTCCTGATCATATGCTACCTCTTGAAATGGCTGAATGTCAACCATTTCTTTTTGGTATACTGACTCTGTATTCCTTCCATCTTCTTTTGATGCTTCCCACATCGTTTAATATTTTCACCACAGAATCCTTCACTATTCCAACTCGAGGTTTGAATTTTTTCTTCAGTTCTTTCGGATTGAGAAATGCCAAGCATGTTCTTTTCTTTTGGTTTTCTATCTCCAGCTCTTTGCACATCATTATAATACTTTACTTTGTCTTCTCGAGCCGCCTTTTGAAATCTTCTGTTCAGTTCTTTCACTTCATCATTTCTTCCTTTTGCTTTAGCTACTCAACATTCAAGAGCAAGTTTCAGAGTCTCTTCTGACATCCATCTCGGTCTTTTCTTTCTTTTCTGTCTTTTTAATGACCTATTGCTTTCTTCATGTATGATGTCCTTGATGTCATCCCACAACTCATCTGGTCTTTGGTCATTAGTGTTCAACATGTAAAATCTATTCTTGAGATGGTCTCTAAATTCAGGTGGGATATACTCAAGGTCACACTTTGGCTCTCATGGACTTGTTCTAATTTTCTCCAGTTTCAACTTAAACTTGCATATGAGCAATTGATGGGCTGTTCCACAGTCGGCCTCTGGCCTTGTTCTGACTGATGATATGAGCTTTTCCATCGTCTCTTTCCACAGATGTAGTCAATTTGATTCCTGGGTATTCCATCTGGCAAAGGTCCATGTGTACAGTTGCCGTTTAGGTTGGTGAAAAAAGGTATTTGCAATGAAGAAGTTGTTGATCTTGCAAAATTCTATCATGCAATCTCCAGCATTATTTCTATCACCAAGGCCATATTTTCCAACTACCGGAATCCTTCTTCTTTGTTTCCAACTTTCGCATTCCAATCACCAGTAATTATCAATGCATCAATTTCAGACTGCAGAAGCTGGTAAAAATCTTCAATTTCCTCATCTTTGGCCTTGGTGCATAAATTTGAATAATAGTTGTATTAACTGGTCTTCCTTATAGGCATATGGATATTATCCTATCACTGACAGCGTTGTACTTCAGGATAGATCTTGAAATGTTCTTTTTGATGATGACTGTAATGCCATTCCTCTTCAAGTTGTCACTCGCAGCATATGACTGTCCAATTCAAAACGGCCAATACCAGTCCATTTCAGCTCACTAATGCCTAGGATGTCGATGTTTATGCATTCCATTTCATTTTTGACAATTTCCAAATTTCCTAGATTCATACTTCGTACGTTTCAGGTTCCAATTATTAATGGATGTTTGGGGCTGTTTCTTCTCATTTTGAGTCATGCGACATCAGCAAATGAAGGTCCCAAAAGCTTGACTCCATCCACATCATTAAGGTCGACTCTACTTTGAGGAGTCAGCTCTTCCCCAGTCATCTTTTGAGTGTCTTCCAACCTGGGGGGCTCATCTTCTGGCACTATATCAGACAGTGTTCTGCTGCTATTCATAAGGTTTTCACTGGCTAATTCTTTTCAGAATACTGCCAGGTCCTTCTTCCTAGTCTGTCTTAGTCTGGAAGCTCAGCTGAAACCTGTCTGCCATGGGTGACCCTGCTGGTATCTAAATATCAGTGGCATAGCTTCCAGCATCACAGCAACACACAAGCCCCCAGAGTTCAACAAACTTGACAGACACATGGGGGACCGTGGTGCTATACACTCAATATCCTCAGTTTTGCCAAGATTTTGTAGTCCTATGAACCATGAATGAATATTACAGTACTAATATTTTCAAAAACTAGTACTAATATTTTCAAAAACTAGATTGAATGCATTGAGAAAACCATTCTACAGAAGAACTTGTTAGGGAAGCTTTCAGGGCTCTACTTCAGGATATAGTACTACTGACTGTCAAATTCTTATAATAATTTAAAGCTACACAAAATTTAGTCTGAGGATAGAGTGATAAACAGAACATAACAGTTCCAAGGATATTCAAAGTCATAAAGAATAGGCAAAGCCATTTTCTCATCTTAAATATCACACAAACAGGCTTAACATTTTGCCATCAGATGTAACTTGGCATTTGCATTGCTAATAGTCCTTTCTCAAAGTGTGCTCACGCTTTTAGCTCCTTTTGAATGGCAATAACTAGATCTCCTAGCTACCCCAGGACTTGGACATGCTAATAATGTCAATCTGCAGATGTGCGTATTTTTGTATTCAGTATATCACCACAGCAAAACAATTTTTGGAGGGAATGTTTGTTTTCTTGAAAAGGCATTGTATATTGGAAGGTTCATCCTGCTTAGTTCTAGTTATTATTTGATACTCTATAAAGGGTGAGTCCAAATATAATTTATCCCCCATGAAAGATACCACTCACAGGGCAAAAACCAACATAAAAGAAAAAAGGAGCTGTTTTCAGATGTGCACTAGAAGAAAAGGGCTTCACTTTTTTGTGGTATTAAATTATTTGTCTTCATACAGTTATCAACTCAAAACTAGTCTAAGGACCTTTGGAAAAATGAAACTGTAAAAGACAATGTATTACTCGACCACAAATAAATCCTTACAATTTTAAGATGATAGTCTACTTTTGTGCAGTAGTTTAGACAATAAAGATTTAAAGAAAAAGAGAAGCAATAAAATACACTTCACAAATCCAAAAGATTGCTCCCAGGATAAAAAAGAATCCCTTCACAAGGTCTAGCCCAAGAATTTGCAGTAAGAAATAAAAACATTTCTGAATTGACAATAAACTGAAGATATATATTCAATGTTCATTTCCAAACTGCTCTGTATTTACCCTTTTAATTTTTATTTATATTTTATTATGATTTAAAACTCAAAGAGCACGAAAGGGTATCCTTGTCCCTCAACCCCTCCCAAGGCAACGTTAGGTTATCATTTTCTTGTTAATCCCTCCAAAGATGTTGTACGCATACGTAAGTAATATATGAATGCTTGTATATGTGTATATTTATTTTCTCCTTTCTACACAAATGGCACCATAACACACACTAACTTTACATCTTGATTTTTTGTATTTGTTCATTTAAAAACTATCTACATCATTCCATACCACTACACAGAGGTTCCTCATTTTTTTATAACTGCACTGTATTCCATTATGTGGATGGACCACCATTTATTTAATCAGTCCTCTATAATGAAAATTAAGGTTGTTTCCAAAGTTTGCTACTATAAATAATGCTTCAATAAGCTTGAGCATACCCGATTACAATTTATAAGACGACAGATTCCTAGATTATGGAATTGTCGGTGAAAGAGGTCTGTACGTTTACAATTCTGACAGATTCTGTCAAACTATCCTCCATAAAGGCTGTACCAATTTACATTCTCACCAGCAATGTGTGTCTGTCTATCTCCACACCCAGGCTAAAGATGTGTTCATTTTTTTTATTATTATTATTTACAGTCCCACCAGCAATTTATGAGTGCGTATTTCCACACTCAGGCTAACTATGTGCTAATTTTTTATTTTATTTTTACCAGTGTGATAAGTTTTTTTGAAAATGGTTTCAGGTGTAGTTTTAATTTGAATTTCTCTTTAAGTAAGGTTGGGTACCTTAACTGCACAGGTTTTAGAGCCAGGTACCTCTCCTTTAGGAGCCCTGGGGGTGCAATGGTTAAAAGCACTCAGCTGCTAACCGAAAGGTCAGTGGTTCAAACCTACCAGCTGCTCCGCTGGAGTACCATAAAGATTTACAGCCATGGAGGCCCTTTGGGGCAGATCTACTCTGTCCTATAGGGTTGCTATGAGCAGGAATTGACTGGATGGCAATGGGTTTGGTTTTGGATCACTTCTTTTCTGTGAAATCCCTATACATATACTTTGTTCATTCTACCACTGAATTGCTGGTCTTTTTTATATATTAAGGAAAACAGCCCATTACTTCGATGAGTCGTAAATACTTTTTTCAACTTGTCTTTTGACTTTGCTTGTGGTAGTTTTTGGTATTCAGAAAGTTTTGCTTTTTATACGAATTTGTGAATATTCTTCTTTTATAGTTTCAGAATTTTATGTCCAAGTGGAAAAACCTCCTCCATTCTAAATTACAAAAAAAATCCCGCTTTCAGTTCTATTTCTTTTGTTGTTTTGCTTTTTAAATTTAAAATTTGACCCATCTAAAATTCATTCTGGTGGAGGTATGAAATACAGATCCAACTTTATTTTTTTTTTCCCAGATGGCTACCCAGTTATCCCAACACCATTTACTGAATAAATTTCATCATTGATTTCAGATGTACTTTTATCATGTCGCCTGTGTTTTGGGGTCTCTTTCTAGTCTCCATTTTATATCTGTAGATCTATACATGTGCCTTCATTACACAGTTTTAATTATTGTAGCTTAATAATATCTTTTAACATCATATAGGCCTAATTCTGCCTCTTAATACTCTTTCAGAATGTTCCTGGCTATTATCGCATGCTCATTTGTATATTAATTTTTGCATTAGTATGTCAAGACAAAAAAAAAAACCTGGTATTTTTAATGGGGTCAACTCCAATTTATAGACATATTTAGGGAGATTATTTACCTTTAAGAAACAACCCTAATCTGGGCAATTTTGTTCCAAGCATCAGTGGTGTGATTCATGGCTTTACTAGAACAATTACATTTCATTTTTGTGTGAGTCCAGTCAAAGACAATGGTCTTCCTCACAGGTAATAGTGGCATTTGGCATTAATGTTTCTCCTGCAGCCAGAAAGATTCTAGAAAAAAAGCATGAACACCAATCAGAAGCACTATTAGTATAGCGCATTGACTAAGTTTATTCGTAAATTAAAAATAAATTGGAAACAATTCTATGGTTACCATGTGTTTTCTTAAATTGGAAGCTAAAGACACAGGAGTAAAGAAGCGAAAAGATCTCTACAGATGATGAAGACCAAGTTCTAGGGAACATTTTCTTTTTAACATATCACCCCTATCACAATGGTTTACTTACAAACTATTTCCTAATTTCCCATTCAAAGAACACTCCAAATTAGAAAATCATGTCCATTCTACTCTAACATTCCTACAGAATTGTTACCACATGTATAGTAGTATCTTTTATCATCATGTACATAGAAGAAAAAGGAATGATGGATGGGAGCAAAAAATGGAGAAAAACAATATTTTACATTAATATTTTACAGTTTACAAAGACTTTAACTTACACCATCTTATTTGATATATGCGCATAAAGCAGGCTGCCTACATACGAAGAATACAAACAATGAAGAACAATAATATTTAACAGGCAACATTTCAACACCAAAACATCCATTTCTACTACATCCTATAATTTTAATGCTAAAAATTTCAGATATCAAAACAGAAACATGTTTTTTCAAGGTGAGGGGAGAAAGATATGAGATCAAAGAAGTAGTCAGGGTCCGATCACAAACGGCCTTTTAGATAGCAGTAAGAATTTTAAACTTTGGCTTAAGAATAGTGAAAAACCAATAAGGTTCTTTAAAAAAGGGAAAGAACATGATTATAACTGCTCTTTAAAGATCATCTGGGAACAGTGTGGAGGATGGGTTAGCTGGAAGGTGGTGAGAGTAGATATAGAAAGTTAATGCAATGAACCAGACCAGTGATGCTTGGTAGTAGCAGTAGAGATGAAGGGAAGTTTCATTTAAGAGATACTGAGGAGCTAAAACTGATAAGACAGGAACAATTTTCTAGATTGAATAACTCAGTGGATAGTGGTGCCATTTACAGAACTAGGGGACATACAGGGAAAGACAGGTTAGGGAGGAAGATAGTAAGTTTCAGGTACAAGTGTAACAAGCAAATAAAGATGTTAAGTGAACAGCTGGCCTACAGCAGTCTGGAGCTCAGGAGAAGTAAAAATTTGAAGCTGGTACATGGAGTTCTGAGAGTAGTACAGATGCTGAGAAACTCATTTAAAAGGTGGGCAGAACTGCCTTCTTTGCCATGAGACCGGAATTGGATGGTGTCCAGCTACCATTACTGAACATTTTGATCAAAGATTCCATATAAGAATCCTGACCAAAAGGGGGGAAAATAGAGAACAGAATGTCAAACTCTCATGGACTCCAGACTTCCTGGAGCCATGGACGGTCGATGAACCCCTGAAACTATTGTCCTGACATAATTTTTAAACCTTAAACCAAACATATCCCCTTAAGTCTTCCTAAAACCAAACAACAGTTTAGCTTAATGAGGAAAAATGTCTACCTTGAGCACTATGCTTTTTTAAGAACTATCAATATCAAATCAAATTGACAACAGCAACTGGAAAGATTAGACAGGAACCTTAGGGGGCAGTAAATTTATGCTAATGGGGGAGGAACAACTCAGAAAAGGAGAGTGAGAACAACACTTATACAACTCAAAGAATGTAATCAATGTCACTAAACGGTACATGTAGAAACAGTTGAATTGGTGTGTGTTTTGCTGTGTATATTCTCAACAACAAGAACAAAATAAATAAAATTATATATTAAAAAAGGGAGTATAAGAGGGTGACCCTGGCAAAGATGACTGGAGAGGTAAGAGAAAAAGAAGGAGAGCCAGGATTTATGAAAGCCAAGTTAAGACTGTGTTACAAGAAAGAGTGGTCAGCTGAGTTGAGTGCAGCTGGGCTGTTAAATAAGATAAAGAATGAGAAGAACCCACTGCATTTAGCCACACTGGTATCCTTAACAGGTACATCTTCAGTGGAGTGATGGACAGAGACCAGAGTGCACAGGGTTGAAGAATGAAGTGGGAAGTGAAGAAATAAATTAAGCCTAATCACTCTTTGAAGAAATTCAGGTATGTAAGAGAAGACAAAAACAGGGCACTAAAGGAAAGAATGAGTGGGAAGGCTCAGTGTTAAAGGTTTTCTTTTTTTTAAGGTTGAAGAGACTTCCCCATGTTTAACGGTATTTAGGCATGGCAGTAGAAAGAAGAAAAAAAAAAAAACTCTTCAATAATGCCCCAAAATTTATATAGGAAACAAACTAGAATGCTGCTCACTTCTGAGAATGGTGTCATAACAGTGGAGAGAAATCTCAGCTATCCTTAGTTGGAGTTTCTTTGCTCCAAAATAAAATCTCTGATAATAAACAAAAAAACCCATCTCCTCTGCAGATAAAGAGGAGATCATAAGAGAGATGTTCTGCTTACATTTAAATCATAAAAGAACTCTGAAGATGCTCACATCAAAATGGAAACTGGAATTCAAAGTTCATGTGCCTAATGTTCAATCAGTAATTTGTCAATTCCATAATATACTTTCTTTAAAAAAAAAAATCAAGTGAAGGAGAATAATCCATGGACCCAACAGGTCAACTTCCTGATTCTTCCACAGATTAAAGGTTTTACAGATACCTTGAATTGAAAAGAAACTGATGATAACATGAATGGTTTGGTTATTTACACCCCTTGAGGCTCATACACAGCACACCTAATGGTTTTGCCTTGAGGCAAAAGATTTAACAGATTGCCCTCCTAATTGCTCCCTGTACACAAGGCCACGTGATCCTGAGGTAGGGATTCCTACATAAAACTCACCTTTAGAAAAAAAATCAAAGATAAATATCTCACGAAGTACTTCTGAACAAATAAAATTGTTTTACAACTCACCTTTAGAAAAAAAATCAAAGATAAATATCTCACGAAGTACTTCTGAACAAATAAAATTGTTTTACAATACCCAAAAACTCACAAATCACCATGCCAACCATTAGATAACACATCTGATAAATTCTGACCTGCTTTTAAAATAAAAGCAACTTAGGTAAAGACTAACAAATTATTTAAACATTATTACCCCAATAAACTTCCGAACATTTAGTGGTACTACAAGCACACTGCAAATTTTAAAACTTCAAATGTGAGAAATTTCATTCCTGAAGAATGTGTGTTATGTCTTCATAATAAGCAGACACTTAAAAAAGTCATCAATTTTAAAAGATGACAGAGATTTTTTAAATTAGAAGAAAAATAGAACTTAGTCTAAACTCCTGGAAAAGTGAGGAAATTTTTCTAAATTTAGAAAAGAAATCACAATAGCAAAAGATTTTGAATTCCTAAAAATAAGAAATCTCCCATATGTTCCAAAATCACCTACACACATTCCCCACTCCTGGGGAGGAGCCGACATGTGGACAGGTAGTCTGTCTTCAGAGCCCATGCTGTTCACAACTGTGTCCCTCGATGAGATCTTTACCAACAGATGAAAAGGAGAAGGACAGGAATAAAATTCAAAAAGTAGGAAATGCAAACATATGGAAACCAGAATTTTCCACTATTCTTAAGCCAAAGGCTGCAATTCTTACTGTTGTCTACAAGGTCCTTTGTGATCTGACCCTAACTACTTCTTTAATCTCAGATCTTGCCCCCTCCCACCCTTCAAAAACATGTTTCTGTTTTGACAGCGAAGATTTTTAGCATTAAAATTATAAAATGTAGTAGAAATGGATGTTTTGGTTTTGAAATATTGCTTATTAAATATGATTGTTCTTCATTTGTCTGTATTCTTCATTCATATGTAGGCAACCCAGTTTATGCATAGGTATCAAACAAGATGGTATAAGTTAGTCTTTGTAAACTGTTAAATATTAATGTAAAATATTGTTGTTCTCTACTTTTTGCTCCCATCCATCAATAAGCAAACACATGGAAAATATTTAGCCACTTGAATAACCCAAAACTTTCACATTAAAATAATAGGTAACTTGTTTTTTACTATTAAACTGACAAAAATTATAAAACCATGATAACACCCAAAGCTGGTAGGCAATTTGGCAATACATATAAAGAACCATAAAAATATCCAAGATGCCCTTTGACCCACCATCTCTTCTACTGAAAGTCTATAAAAATTCACTGCCGTCAAGTCAATTCTGACTCATAGCAACCCTACAGGACAGGGTAGAACTGCCCCATAGGGTTTCCAAGGAGCGGCTGGCTGGTGGATTCAAACTGCTGACCTTTTGGATAGCAGCTTGAGCTCGTAAGAAAGAAAAACTAAAATATGAGGCAGAGAGGAAGGGAGTGGTTACTACACATGCACAAAGATGCCCATCTGAGCATTATTATAATATGAAACAACTTAAATGTCCAAAATAATAGTAGGATAAAATACAATAAATGCACACATTGATTAGTTACACACAATTATTTCAACATTATAAAAATGTATAAAACATGAAAAATACTTTTTTATACAGTGTCAAACTAAAAAGGACTGAATATGAAAATGTACAGATAATTAAAACTCTTTTTTTAATGCATGGGAAAATAAAAAAAGGAAAAACACCAAAATGGTAACTATGGTTGTAATGGCATAGAATTATTTTTTTCCACACTATCTAGCAAATGTTTTACAATGTGGAATTATTAGTTCTATTATTTTAATAGAGCTTTATAAAAAGGGAGGAGATTCACACAGCATCTGCAAATTTTAAACAAAACAGAAATTGGAATGTTCCTTGAAATTGTTTTTTCGAAAAAGGAAAAATAACAGTATGACAATTAGGATTTCCCAGGTAATTTGCTCTAAAGAGTGCAAGTTCCATTGTATAGAAGTTGCTAAAAAAAAAACTGTGATTGTAACAAAAGACATAAATATATATTTGTTGTTGTTAGGTGCTATCAAGTTGGCTCTGATTCATAGTGACCCTATGTACAACAGAACGAAACACTGCCCAGTCCTGCACCATTCTCACGATCGTTGCTATGCTTAAGCCCATCGTTGGAACCACTGTGTCAATCCATCTCATTAAGGGTCTTCCTCTTTTTTGTGGACCATCCACTTTACCAAGTATGATGTCCTTCTCCAGGGACTGGTTCTTCCTGATATCATGTCCAAAGTATGTGAGACTAGTCTCATCATCCTTGCTTCTAAGGAGCTTTCTGGTTGTACTTCTTCCAAGACAGATTTGTTCGTTCTTTTGGCAGTTCCTAGTATATTCAATATTCTTCGCTTTGTATATTCAAGTATATATTTACATACTCGAATGTACAAACTCAGCCAAATTTTGCAATCATGAAAAACATTGATAAAATACATTTAAGCCTTCCAAATATGCCGAATTTACTACTAAAAAAGTATCCCTTTTTATTCAGAAATACAGATATTTCAGGTAATCCTAGAGTCACATTTTCACTTCTCTTATGTGATTTCCTTTTTATTTCATCTTATAATGAAAACCTCCTTGCTAGTGTTCATAGTAAAAATGGTATTAATATTTTCAATACATTTTATAAGATCTTTTAACAAAATAAAAAGAACCAAAATTTTCATTTAAAAGGATTTATTTTGGAGTAACAAAGACAAAAGTATTATTTCATGGTTACTGCAAATTCTGAAAGGTTCCAAAATTTGTTCAGCTTTCGTTTAACAAATAACTTATTGAAGGCCTACACTGTGCCAGGCACAATTCTAGGTGCTGGAGATACAGAGGTGAACAATAGAGATGTGACCCTTACTCTCACGGAGCTTACGGTCTACTAGGAGGAGACAAACAACAGACATACGTATAACATTGCATCAGACAGTGATTAGCGCTATGAAGAAAATAAAATGATGTGATAAAGACAGCCTGGGGTGGGCATCTGGCACTTTAATCACAGAAGGTCTCTGAGAAAGTGACATCTGACCTGAACCGAGAATGTTATTAAAGTAGGGAAGGAGGTTTCGGGCAGAGGAAATGCCAAGTGAAAGACCCGGGGGTGGGAAAAAATTCAGTGAGTTGTTGGACCAGAAAGACAGTGCGTATTCAAAATATGGTGTGAATGGTTGTACTCAGTGAGTGAAATGGTGGCTGGTTCAAGATGAGGTCAGAGATGCTAGCAGGGACCAACCAACTTAGAAGTTATTTCAGAACTTATTTTATCCTAAATGCAACAGGAAAGCCATTTGAGTTTTAAACAGAAATGCTTCTTTATTTGATTTACTCTACAGCCTCTCTTTTCTAGTTTGTTTCATAGTAAAATCTTTGCTGGAAAAAGAAGAACCACTCACACCATTTGTCTCTTGCTCAATCTGAAAAACTAACTTCATGAGATAAAAATAGTATGTAATAATATTTAAACCTTAATAATGTCTCCTCTACTAGACTAACAACTCCTGAGGGAGATCAAGGATTGTACCCTATTTAACCCAGTGGCTGGTTCTTGCACAAGTGTACAGAATTGTGCTTGATGATGTATAAAGGGGAAAAAAATAACATCCCATAAGTTAGGATGATGATAAACTATCACTCAAGTAAGCAGACATACTAGGGTTGTCTGAGGCCAAAGACATCTCTGTAAGGAAATTAAAATTTTTCTGAGCTGACAGGTGAGCTACCCAAAGCACCAAACAAAAAAAGTCCAACCAAGTTCTCAGGTCACCTAAACCTGGACCCTGGAACGCTCAATTCTAACCAACCATAAGGCGTTAATTTATTACAACAGATTTAAATTTTCATTCTTTTGGTTAATATATAAAACAGTGGTTATCACAGAACACTAATTTACTAGGATGTGTCAAAAGAGTTTGATCGTTCTATCAAAATAGTTAATACTACAATAGTAACTTAGGCTTTCACTTAAAAAAAAAAAGTTGTCCAGTTGCCATTGAGTCGATCCCGACTCATGGCCACTCTGTATGTGTCAAAGTAGAATTGTGCTCCATAGGGTTTTCAATGGCTAATTTTTCAGAAGTAGATTGCCAGGCCTTTCTTCTAGGCACCTCCGGGTGGACTCAAACCTTCAACCTATTGGTTAGCAGCTGAGAGAGTTAACCATTTGCACCACTCAGGGCTTTCACTCACCTACGCTCAAAGAAATCTGTATGCTGAGCAAATAATCAGAGAAGTTGGGCTATATGAAGAAGAATGTGGCATCAAGAATGGAGGAAGAAGCATTTAGAACCTGCGATATGCAGATGACACAATCTTGCTTGCTGAAAGCAAAGATGACTTGAAGCACTTACTGATAAAGATCAAAGACTAATTTAACCTTCAATATGGATTACATCTCAACAAAAAGAAAACAAAAATCCTCACAACTGGACCAATAAGCAACATCATGATAAACAAAGAAAAGATTGAAGTTGTCAAGGATTTCATTTTACTTGCATCCACAATCAACATCCATGGAAGCAGCAGTCAAGAAATTAAATGACATGTTGTGTTGGGCAAATCTGCTGCAAAAGACCTCTTTAAAATATTGAAAAGCAAAGAGGACTAAGGTGCATGACCCAAGCCATGGTATTTTCAATAGCCTCATATGTATGGGAAAGCTGGACGATGAATAAGGAAAACCGAAGAAGAATTGATAGCCTTTGAATTATGGTGTTGCCAAAGAATATTGAATATACCATGGACTGTCAGAAGAATGAACAAATCTGTTTTGGAAGAAGTACAGACAGAATGCTCCTTGGAAGTGAGGATGGCAAGGCTTCTTCTCACATACTTTGGACATGTTATCAGGAGGGACCAGTCCCTGAAGAAGGTTATCATGCTTGGTAAACTAGAGGGTGAGTGAAAAAGAGGAAGACCCTCAATGAGATGGCAGCAACAATGGGCTCAAACATGGCAATGATTGTGAGGATGGTGTGGGACTGGGTAATATTTCGTTCTGTTGTACATAGGGTCACTATAAGTCAGAACCAACTCGACGGCACCTAACAACAACATGCTCAAAGTCCATTTTGAATTAACTCAATACTGCATGAGATAAATTCCACAACAAGGAATGAGGCATTTAGCTCACCAGGTCTGCTACATTTGCTGCTAAAACCACCGATCTGCAGATCTTTGAATACAGGAGGAAGGAACAATATCGAGTAGCCAAGGAAGTGATGTTACATCACTAAAACCACCAATGAACATTTGTATAGCACTTCATAGTTTAAAAAGGACATCACATATGAAATATTATTTGATAACCAACATGTACCCAGACCTTTCTTTATAGCTTTCAAAGTACTTCCTTCACAGATTATATACCACTTCACACTCAAAACAACCTTTTAAGTTAAGCAAAGCAGGTATTGTTACCCCATTATAGATGATGAAACTGAGGCTCGGGAAGCTTAAGTGATTTGCCGAAGTTCATACAGCTGTTAAATGGCAAAGGAGAAACTGCACTTTGGAGTGAAGGAGACTTGGTCTGCCTCTCCTCCCCATGCCAGATCTCTGTCAGAGAGCTGACCAACTTGGATTTTGTGCAGCCAACACTGTCAAAGGGAAATCACTTGATGGCATTCCAGACATATATCCTTTCTTGACAGACAGCCAGCAGTTTAAGAGTCACTGCATCTACTAACACACATAATAGAAAACACATAGCTCTTTAGCCAAAACGCAAATGGATAACTAAAAAGGTAAGCCTTCTGCTGAGCTAAAGCTTGGGTTTTTTGTTTGTTTGTTTTTTAAGAAATTACTTAAAAGCTCATGAACTAACATCATAAAGGAAAATCAAAGGCAGACCTCTCAGGGTTTGTTTTTTGTTTCGGGGTTTCTGTTTTGTTTTTCTTCTTTTCTACTGTTTACATCAAGCAAGGCAACATCTCAGTGTATCTAGAATGACAACGCTAATTATCCTAACTTATTATTTTAATACAAAATGACTCCTTCTAAGCATCAAAACTTTTTGAACGTTTCAACTGTGTAAAATATTTCTAGAATTTATTAAATACCTCTTTGCTGCTTTCTTAAAATATACAGAATTATTTGTGTGTCTGCTACGAAGCAATAATTATATCTTATATAAAATACAGTAGCTAACATATTTTTGATTCTTATTATGTGATAGGCACTGGGCTATTTATATAATTTCACTGAATCCTCACAACAACCATATGATTTAGGTGCAAGTAACTTTTAAATCTATTTTAAATGTAGAAATGGAGCCAACGAGCATTGGTTAATAAATCGGAAAGTAACAGAATTGGGACCTGATGCTAGAAGTCTAACCACTATAAGAAATTGCCTCCGTCTGCTCTGCTGATTCTCTTGTATGGGGTTGGGATAATAGTCTATATAGAGCATGGACTCTGGACTGACCACTTGGGTTCAAATTCTGGCTCCCATACTTACTGATTAATCTTAGGAAAGCTAGAGAATATCTGTGCCTCACTTTTCTCAACTACGAAATGAATATTCTAGCTGATATAACATTTCTACATCATGGAATCGTTATGAGGGGAAATGTAATTCTTAGTTTGCAGTGACAGGCTCATGGTGAGGGCTCAAAAATGTCAGTCAGCAGTAACACAGTGATACCCTCAGGAGACACTGACGTGTCTGAAGCTTTGCCCCACACCAAATGGCCTCAAGCTCTTCTTAAGTTCTTGAGACCCCTCCTCCCCTCCTCTTTTTATTTTTTTTTAAGGTTTTACTGTCTCAAGGAATCACTTTCACAAACTGGCATTCTTGGCAGTTAATGTGCCTGTATGGAGCATCTCCTTTTCCTTTCCCCTTTACTATGCCTCTTTCAATTACGTTATAAACTATACTGTTAAACAATCAGACTTTCTAAAATGATTTCTAAGTAAGAATATCCAGGTTCTGAGAGGAGGATTCAGGGTCTCCCTAACTCATTAAGAGAAAAGCTTTAGTGCATGGACTTTTTAACATCTAGTTTTGGCTTTTCAGAGTTCCTTTTTTGCTTAGTTGGCTTCCTTGTGAAGCCTCAAGAGGGTCGAGAGCACCGTAT